ACGGCTTGTCACACATGTGGCCAAAGCAGACCCGGCTTGGAGAATTCCAAGCTGGTTGCTGGGCGCGTCTGTTCCCGAGGCGGTGCGCTGCCCGGGCCTGTGGCCTCTGCTGCTCCCCCGGAGTCCGCCGTGGCTGTGGGAGTCGCAGCATGTACAGCACTGCGCTGCATTTCAGCCTGATCGGGGCCATGGGTGGGGTGGGGCTTCAGGCCCCTCCATAATCTTAATACCTTATGAAATCAGGTGTAGGGGGATGGGAAGCAGACAAAGGATTAAGGCGGTAGAGGTGTAAGGGAAAACGAATGATTTGAATTTATGTAGGTCTGATTATGTTACCATAACATTTTAAGATACGCTAAACACTATCCAATGCATGAGTGAGGGGTTGTCAGCTGCAATATAAGTCATGGAGCTTTCCTGGTTTCTGCTGCTCTAAATAATGTGGAGTTCTCAGTTGCCATAGAATCGATACACTCACTCCTTCCATACGCCGTCTCCCCTCTCTCCACACACAATAGCCTTGCCTAGATTTTTAAATCAGTCAGTGGCTCCTGGCAATTGCCTTGGAGTTCAAGTGCTAGAAGCAGAGATTTTTTTCCACAGAGGGTCTCTTTCTGCAAGTTTTCTTTTTTGGCTTGGCAGAGCTTAAGAGTTCTGGCATCCAGGACAAAGAGCATGTGTGCTTGAGTCTTGGACCCTTGTTTTATTGTTACCAAAGGGACTATGACTGTGAGAACACCTTCGGAGAGCCAAGCTACAGTGGTTGTACCCCACTGCCTACCTCTGAATTCTTGGCTCAGAATTGGCAAGGAGAGATTGAGCTGGGATTATGATCCACGACTCTAAGTAACAGAATTATCTGAGCATCAAGCCTCCAGAGCGAGGGACATCATTATAAACCTTAAAAAGGTGGAACTGAGGCACCTTGTATATCTGGGAGGGGTTGAGCACAGATCACCCAAAGCCTCCACAGCCCCAGCTTTCTGACTGCTTTGCTCGGTCTACCCAGCCACCTTCAATGACTATACCAGGTGGTATGATCCCTTCAAAGAGTGGAATGAGTTGTTGCTTTTCGAGAGCTTTTTTTTTTTTTTAATCTCTGTGAAGTAATCATTGATAGTTTCCTGTAACAGTACAGCTCTGTGTGCAACAGAGCATTCTGGAGGGAGACTGCTCCGCGGGACATGGTCCTCTGAACCTCGCCATCCAGGCAGGGCATATCTGGGCCTCTCCTCTCAGCTTCCAAGTTCTGGCCTTTCTAGCCAGAGTCTTTTCCATATTCTGGGTTCACCTTCAGTGTTCTGCCACTTATCAAAAAGAAAAAGAAGAGAGAGAGAGAGTCTCTGTGGAGTCTTGCCCACAGTGAGGACAGGCTTGTGCCCACCTGCCCATGGCCTCCTCCAGCGAAAGCCTGCAGGGCCAGTGCACCCAGTAAAGATATCCCTTCCCTCATATATATCACTAGATGACATATAAGTGACACCTTTCCCTTTACTCTTTCCTTGCAAAGCCACTTTCCCCACATTATAATCAATTTTCTGATTTACCTTTAAAACCTTTCCGAATTGTCTGTTCTCTGGAAGTGTTATCCCCTTACCCTGACGAAGATTCTGCCAGGTCTAGTGAACTGGGAGAGCTGGCTATCCTGTGTTCTCATGCAGTGCCTCCTTAGAATGCAGTTTCAGTAGATCCGTGCAGCCTCTGACCCTTCAACAGCCATGCTTTTATCAGTGGTTCTCTTATTTGTAGCTCTTTATACAGTATGCTCTCCAGGTAGCCTCTTCTACACTGACTGCACTGGAATGTTAGGTTCCTCTTGTGACTGAGCTCCATTTCCTACCTCTGACTCCATTCTGGCTCTAGCCTTACCTTTTTATCCCCTCTCCCCTTTTCTCATTTACTCTTGCTCCAAGATCCCTGTGACTGGCTCTGCTGAGAGTACGTCAACATTTGATCCCATTGACTTGATTAGGCCAGTCCTCAGGAACCAGCCTATAATCTCAGTTTAAATTAAACAGCAGGCATTTCTAGCAAAGGCTCATTCGTCTCTAGGACCCCTGTGCATAGGGGGTCTCATTACATGTTTTGGTTGTCCAAAGGCCAAGTATTTTCAAAGAAAACCCACTGAGACAAGTTGGCTGAGTGACTGCCATAGCATCTGTGAAGCCTTGGTCACTTTTTTCATCTCCTAAAAATCTAATATTTTTCCTCAATTAAGAAACGGTGTACATTACAGCTTAAAATATTTAGCAATAAATCTTCCAGAGACTGTAATCGTAATACTAGTCCATTGTGTGTGCTCTAACCATAGGCATGGATCCTCTTATAACTCTTCTATTTTTACCGAGACAAGACCATTAAGTATTCTTTGCATTGGACACTCCCTTTTCATTCCACCCCTCCCTTCTTCCCTCCCTCTTCTTTTTTTACTTCCAGATCTTTCCTGGGTAGATATGTGTACTGAATATGGGAAATATGCAGTCCAGTAAAGCCCAGGCTCCTGCCCTGAAAACCCACACAAGCAGAGGGAGAACACCTGGAAAGGGACACAGACGTAAATGCCTGCAAGAAGGCACTGAGCGAATTGTGACAGGAGTGTGGGCATTGATGCTGGGTAGTCCGAACTCTCCAAAGGGAAGGTATAGTCAAGGCAGGATTCAGAGGAGGGCATAGTGTTTGAGATAAGACTTGAAGGGTGTGGCAGTACTTGCTGGGTAGGTGGGGAAAAAGGCTAAGCAAGCTATATGAACAAAGGCATCAAGGTGGGAACTGCAAAAGGTCTGTCTTTAGTGCTATGGTAAAGGGTATGTGGCTGTCTGTGCAATGGGTGGGGTGAGGAATATGAGGCCTGTACATAAAGATAAAGCAAAGAAAGGGAAGGCAGGGCGAATCAGACTTGATCCCAAAGGCTCTCAGATCTCCACGGAGAGACTCCCAGCAGAGCTGTGACATCAGATTTGTGCTTTACAGGCCTCTCTTAGACAGTCTCCCATGCTGGTTTGGAGGGATTTGAAACAGGATGCAAAAAAAAATGAGGGCCTGAACCGAAATGGTGGCGATTGCGATGGAGAAGGAAGAGGGACGAGACGGTAAGGAGGCAGGACCAACAGCATTGACCCACCAAGAGAAAAAGTCTGGAAGGAGGTTGGAAGGAGGAGTCATTTCTGATAAGTGAGTGAATAGATGAAGTTGTCGCTCACTGAATGGGCTAGTACAAGAGGAAGAGCAGACCTGGGAGGGAGATGGGAGCCAGCCCTGCTCAGGACATGTATAGTTCCCTGATTATGGGACAGTGTGGCTGCTTCCATGCTTCCACCCAGACCTCAATGACTGCCATTGGGAATTAGCTTGGAGATCAAGAGGGATTTCTTATATTGTGCAGAATTCTAAGTCAAAACCACTACCCCCAGCCCTCCATGGCTTCCAGCCAATCATTCCCTCTTCTCCACCCTCGGTGCTCTTTCCGTCCTTTAGAAATGTGGCTTCTGTAAAGAGACAATGGTCATCGGAATGTGTGAAGAATGAAGTTTGGAATCACCTGGCGGGGAAAATGAAAGATGCAAACTAGATTTGCAAAGAGCTCAGGGAGGAGAGGGCCCTTTGGATAGCTATGTCTACCTCTTCAGTGAATTTTGGCAAACTTAAGGTCCAGGGGTGTGGAGAGCAGCTAATTGGGAGAACTACTAGTTTAGGCTTCAGTGTTTTCTAAAAGATATCCATCTACACATTGGGAATCAGAAATCTCTGCCTTAGTGGGTCATGCTTCTTTGCTCTTAGATCCACTCTCTGCCTTTCTCCTGCTCTGCATGGAATCACAGGGAACTGACCCAGCAATGCATTTCTCAGGCTCCCTTTCCGTTGATTCTGCTTGATTTGGGGCCCTGGAGTAAGGATGGAGGGCAGATGTATGGGAGAAGCCATGTATTTCTGCCTTCCTCTCGCAGCTCCCAGTGGTATCTCAGGCAGTAACATTAGTTTCTCCTTCATGATCCCTTTGTGGTTTAATCTCCACAGGGAGCTGGAGTTGGGCATCCATCCTCTGGGCTCTAGTGACAGTGCCTCTTCCTTTGTTCCTCCACCTCTAGCAATGGGGTGGCTTCTTACTGTTACTAATCTTTGGTTTGCCTCCCTGTCCTCTATTTTCCTTTCAACTCTTCCAACACATTTGTAACTAGTTCCCAACATTAAATTCTCTCAAACTGCCTGGGGTGAGTCCTATTTTTCTGGTGGCCTTGACTGATGTAAGCTCTCTGGTTGGCATATGGCTAATATAAGGCCCCAAATGTTCTCCACTGGTCCTGTTCCCCAGAGGGCCCCTGTCTACCATGATTCTCCAGCCTTGAGCATTGCGTTCCTGGGCTGGGCTGTCTTGGAGGGCAAACATTTTGTGCTTGCTTCCTGAATGGCATGAGAAAAGGAGCTCTTCTGGCCCAGTCTCCTTCCTGTGGGATTTTCCAAAACTTTCCAAATGTATCTAAGCTCAGGAAGCATTTTAATGGCTGGAAATAATGCCTTGTGGGGGTTGGGGGTTTGAAACCAAAAGAACCTCCTCTAAACGAAGTGTGTTGCAATACACATATCCAGACCCTGCCCCTCCCTATTGGAAGCATGGCAGGCTCCCATTCTCTAATGGGTTCCCGTCGTAGAGGAGTTGGCATTCTCTGAATGCACTGATGACCCAGAGCAGAGCAGCAGCTCCAAAGGCCAGAATTCTCTCTAGGAGGGAAGGATGGTTAAGTGGTTAGCTATGTTTGGGTTCTAATTCAGATGCCACCTCCGAGTCTATAGAAGACTTCTATACTCCCTTCTTTGGCCAATAATAGTGGTTGCAAGATTGATCTAAATCATAATAATCTTTTCTAGGCTGTTACTGATGTAATGAATTGGAGCATTCTGAGATTCTTGTGAGGACAAGCATCACCCAGCTGGAGAATTCAGTTACTGATTTCTTCAAACAGGCTATGACTGTCACGTTGCTTTGTTGCCCACATTTCATAGCAACTTTCAGAAGGGACTCTGTTGGGGGATGAAGGTCATTGTCCAAAAGAAGTGGAAGTGAAGGAGCTATGCTTGGGAACCTTTTCAGATCCTTTCGTATTGGACCAATAAGTAGAAAGTAATCATCATTTCTAGTCTATGGGAGCAAAACCCCAGAAGTTGCTAAGAGACTCTTACGTGCTCCATCACTACAGGGAACAGATAAAACTCTACCCTTTGGAGAATGACTCTGAATCCAATCCCATATTGATTTACTTGGACCCTCTCTAGGAAGTTCCCAAATTCTTTAACATAGTAACCACTAACTAGGATACTCTTATGATTACTTGATGACACACAGAACTTTATAGACCTTGGGGTCAGGTACATGTTTTATATTAGAAGGGTAGGATTTTAATGAAAAGGAAGCAAGTGGTGTACACCAATACGAGTACAGTTTCTGGTGTCTCTGAAATGTCCAGCATTCTATGGCATCGTTATTTCTCCCTTCTAACCAATTTTCTTCCATTAGCCTACAAGGGAGCTGATGGAGTGAATCACAGCCCCAGGAATAATGTGGGAGGATTTTTCCATTTGGAAATGGATGGTGTTTTTTATTCTTTCAGGGATTAAAACTGATTCATAGATTCTGGCATATACTATACATACATAAGCCCATTGTCTTCACCTGTAGTTACCTAGAAAAAAGATTCTCCACTGTGAGAAAGGTAACGATACTTTAGAATTAAGTTCTAGCTTTGTCTCTAATTAGATATGTGATCTTGGGCTAATGACTCTGAGTCATAGGTTCCTCTTCTATAAAATAGTTAATGATCTAGAAGAGGCAGCAATGCCATGCTGTACCTCATTTACTCTTGTACTATGGGAGCATTCTTCATTAGTTAGGGTAGGTAGGGCTTGCCACGTTGCTCATTTATGCTAAACCATAGGATACAACTGTAACATTCTGCTCAGTTATTTATTTGGCTGAGTTTGTAGTTTTTTTGATCAGTGGTGAGAGGAATACCTCTCGGAATCCACTTGATGAGCTTGTTAAAATTCCAATTCCTAGGCCTTCCCAGACAAAATCTGCAGCACTGGGAATTGGCCTAGAAATCTGCATTTTTACACATGCTCCAGGTGATTCTTAGGTGCACTAAACTCTGAGATCCACTGCCAACTGGCAGCACATAGCATACTCTATGGTGTGAGTTAGTTTAACACTCTGTACTCTTTGCATCCAGTCTGCTGGGTCTTAGCTCTGGGCTGGCTGACTGGGTGATTTGGTCACACCTTTTCATCTCTCTAGAACTACTTCCTTGTTTATAAAATGTGGGGGCTGGAGTATTCATCTCTAAGGAATCACTGGGTTCTGAACAGTCTATGAAAATAGTCATTCGTAACTTTAAGAGTTACTGAACCGCCCTGGCCAGTGTGGCTCAGTTGGTTGGAACATCGTCCTGGGCAGGGAACTGCAGTGAACCATTGTGGGCTTGATTCCCTGTCAGGGCACATACCTGGGTTATGGTTTAATCCTCGATTGGGGCACGTACAGAAGGCAACCAGTGTTTCTCTCTTACATCGATGTCTCTCTCTCTCTCTCCCCCTTCCTTTCTCTCTCTAAGATCAATAAAAAACACCCTTGGTGAGGATTAAAAAAATAAATAAATAAATAAATAAATAAATAAATAAATAAATAAATAAATAAATAAATAAAGTTACTGAACCTACCTTAATAAGTCCTATTTCTTGGGTGCCTACTATGTGCTGGGCATTGTGCAACTTTTACATATATTTTGTTTGTTCTTTACAGTAACCCATGATATCAATACCATCATTATTCACACTTGACACATAGGGAGCTGAGGCTTGGAAACGTGAAGTAACTTGCCCAAGTCTACTTAGTTAATAAGCAGAGCTGCAGAGGAGTGGGATTAAACTGGGGTCATAAACACGAAAGAATTGCCTTGGTTGCTGTGCCCCCAGAGCTCCCAAAGGCCTGGGGCTTGTCCAGTGTACCGCTCATTCACCCTGTGTTCCACTCTCCCAGAAAAGGAGCCTGGTGTGGGTTTCCTTAGATGTTTATTTGGCCTCTTGCTTAAGCATTTGCCTTTCCTACTCAATAACAGTGAAGGACCAAAAAAAAAAAAAAAAAAATCCCAGGGCTGGAAACATTTTGTTTCCTACAAAAAGATTATTTTGCAGCCAGCTCTATGGTCGAAAGTATTTTTCCTGTGGTCTGGGGATGGGTTGGATCCCATCTCTTCTTGGCCAGTATCTGAGAACTAAGCCTGTGGCTTCTCATCAAGTCAGCCCACAGTACTCTGTGTTTCTTAAACGAGTGTCTAGTGATGCTGAGTGTATGCACAAGTGGCCGGAGAGGTCTGCTTGTGTACATGCACCCCTGGCCTTGCCAGGGCAGAGAGAACCTGGGAGTGGTTCCCACATGCTGTATGTATCAGCATAGCTTTTAAGTTTTCATCACTCACACGACAACCAAACAAATTCAGATGCTGACAAATGAGAGGAGAGCGATATGTGAGCCTTATGTGGATTTGTAAGTAATCAAAAGCCAAGGGAATCTGAGATTTTGACCTGTCACATTTCTTTCCATTTTCAAATGTTCAAACCAAGACATGGGGTTGGTTTTACTAGATGACAGGGTGGCCTGATAGTGATGTAGGAAACAGGAATTCTGAGGTCTGCCTCTAGCCTGGCCACTTGCAGAGTTCAAGGCACTGACCTTTGCCCAGCCTTGCACAAGTCACTTCTCAAGGACTGCATTTTCCCGTCTAAAAACACAAATTTATTCAAAAACCCCCCAGAAAACAAAAAAACAGCTGTGTGCTTCAAATAATAAGAGCTCTTCTAGTGAGAGAGGAATTTTGAGCATTCACAGATAAGAATATTATTAGTGCTCGGTGCCTTTTCTTTACTCCTAATTTAGTATTGACTCATAATTTAGATGTTTCCAGTGTGTGCTGGTGCCCAGAACTTTCCAACCTTATTTCCTTTGCGTCTACTGAATTACTTACCTGGAATGCCCTTCCCTTGAAGTATCCCAGTTTTCCTTCATGGCCTGGCCTTGATGATACCATTTCTTTAAATTTTTTTCTACCGCCATGCAGAGGTGGCTTTCTGGGTTCCCAATGCATGTGGTTTTAAGTGCAGTTACCTGCTCCCTTGTCCCTGCTACATGAGCTGTTCAGCTCATTAGAAAGCAGGACTGGCCCATTCCTGAACGTCCCAGCACAGTGCAGAGAGCAGGTGCCCAACAAGTTGACTTAAATGAAATAAACTTCTCCTCAGATGACAAGCTACTATTTGTAACTTCAGAATTTTCTTATGTATGCCCTTTATGTAGCTTTCCATTTGGGGATGTTTTTAGAATTCAAAGCATCACATTGTCCTGGCATAAAAGTTGTAGTCACTTGATTTCGGGGGGAACATTTGAAGAAACAAGCAAATCCCAGGGTTGGAAGGAGTTGAGTCCTTTTGTTTATACATTTTAGGGGGAAGATGTTAGGGAAGAATTGAAAAGCTATTGGAATAGAAATTAAACCATCAAGAGGGCTGCATTCTAAAGGAGCAGGGATTGAGGTAGAGGTGGACCCCATGCCCAGATTCAGCACCTACCCTGAGATGCAGAAAGAGGCCCATCCAAGTCAGCCAGTGGGAAAAAATGGCCACAGATGGATTAAGGTTCACCAGCGGGGAAAAGCTGGCACTTGCCCCGTTTCATCACACAGACAGTGGAGCTATTCTCACGGTCGGGGTGGGGTTGGGGTAGCGGTAGTGATTTTAGTAAACCAGTTTTCCGATGACGGGGATGTTTCTGTTTTTACCCCTTAACAATGAAACAACAACCCAAATAGCAGATCCCGCAGTACGTTGAAATGCCAAGGCTAAATGAACTGGTGGAACTTTGTGGCTTTGGCTCTTGGCTCACAGGCCTATCCATGCATTAGGGCCATGGCTTGGCAGTAGACAAAGCGGCTATGTGGGTCCTCGGGGAGTGCTCTGGCTCTGTGGCTTTCTTTGATATGCAATTGAACTTTGGCAAATTTTTCCTCTCAAGTCTCTGTTTATGAGGTCCAGAGGTAAGCAGAGACCCTCATTATGGAGCCCAAAGCCAACAGCCAGCTAGAACTACAGGATGTCTTCCCACGTTCACACTCTGCTTGCAGGCTAAAGGGCTGTCCCGCAAGGCTCACAACAAAGGGACAAGCTAGAGGAAGAGACTGCTGAATTCTCTTCCCAGCTGCACATGACCCTAAATCTGTAAGCATGGCCAGATCTCATAAAAAGATCTCTTATTTGTCAAAGGACCAGTAAGATCACTAATTTACTGGTTTCCAGCACAGTCGGTTTAACAATAACAATCACAGCTAACACTCACCAAGTGCTCAGCCATTTACCATTGTACCTGTAATTACCCATTTAATGATCACATCTTTGCAGGTAGGTTCCATGGTCTCCACTTTACAGATGAGGGAACTAAGGCACAAGGAGATTAGGTAACTGTTCATAGTTGTTGTTTTTAATTATGATCTATTAAGTTTAAGTACAACTCTGCAGATATAACTTAAAACCAACTGACTTTCCTGAACGCCTACCTCCTCAAACTATATCCCTGGGCCACAGATAATAAAATTATTAGAATTCGTATACTCAGCATTCTTAATTGCTGACTCACCTTGAATTAGAATGAGGTATTAGCCATTTTCAAGTTATATTATTCTTATATTGGGAAACCTAGAATTAGGACTTTTTCAAAGTCATGAACAGGTATATAGAGGGCGACCAATCTGGCAAACGAATGGGACTGTCTGTCCTACTGAACTTGTACAGTAGAGGGAAAGCAAATGTGGTGTTGGGCTGAGAAGACTTGAAGGAATTGGATTCTGTTCAAGTGCCAAGATCAAGCCAGTGGACTCCAGAGGGGCTGAAAAGTGAGGCTGTACACCGTGGTTTGCACCGAGGTTACGGCGTCGCCTTCTTTCCTACTCCCCTCTCTGGGAAGGAGCCTCTGTGGTGTAGCCTTGTGCTTTCCCGTAGCTTCCTCAAGATTCTAATAACAGCAGCTGCCTTTCTGTGATGGCACATGATAAGGGCTGTACAAACATTGTCTTTGTAAACTCTTGTGAGGTGGGTTCTTACAATAACACTATGAAGAGGGTATCATTACCTTGACTTTACAGATGGGGGAGTATGCTCAGAGGGGTCAAAAAATATTCTGAATCTAAAACAACCAGTAAATGGTGGAAAAGGAGCCAAACTTGCGTCTAACTCTAAAGTGACTTTCAGCCGCTAGATTGTCCTGCTTCATAACCGGTATGGTAGACATGTGGTACCGTTGCTCGCCCTTGATCTCTTCCCCCTTCTGTTATACCTACACCCTGATTCTCTTATCAGGGACACCCT